ACCTGTAGTCCTGTTGTCCTGTAGACCTGTAGTTCTGTAGTTCTGTCGTCCTGTAGTCCTGTAGTTCTGTAGTCCTGTTGTCCTGTAGACCTGTAGTTCTGTAGTTCTGTCGTCCTGTAGTCCTGTAGTTCTGTAGACCTGTAGTCTTGTAGACCTGTAGTCCTGTAGTTCTGTAGACCTGTAGACCTGTAGTCCTGTAGTCCTGTTGTCCTGTAGACCTGTTGTCCTGTAGTCCTGTAGTCCTGTAGTCCTGTAGTCCTGTAGTTCTGTAGACCTGTAGTCTTGTAGACCTGTAGTTCTGTTGTCCTGTAGTCCTGTAGTCCTGTAGTCCTGTTGTCCTGTAGTCCTGTAGACCTGTAGACCTGTAGTTCTGTAGACCTGTTGTCCTGTAGTCCTGTAGTCCTGTAGACCTGTAGTCTTGTAGACCTGTCGACCTGTAGTCCTGTAGTCCTGTAGTTCTGTAGACCTGTAGTTCTGTAGACCTGTAGACCTGTAGTGCTGTAGACTTGTAGTCCTGTAGACCTGTAGTGCTGTAGACCTGTAGTCCTGTAGACCTGTAGTGCTGTAGACCTGTAGTCCTGTAGACCTGTAGTGCTGTAGACCTGTAGTGCTGTAGACCTGTAGTCCTGTAGACCTGTAGTCCTGTAGACCTGTAGTCCTGTAGTCCTGTAGACCTGCAGTGAGGCTCTGTGTCCAGCAGGTGGAGCCACCTGTTCTCCAGTGGAGCAGCAGCTTCCTGTCTGTTTGTAGCAAAGCTCCTGCAGACCCGTGTCAGAACCTGAGCTCTGGATCTGGACCTGTGTCCTGCAGGTGGGACCCATGGCCTGGCTCGGCCCGCAGACCGACGAGGTCATCAAAGGTCTGTGTGAGCGAGGGAAGAAGAACATCCTGCTGGTCCCCATCGCCTTCACCTCGGACCACATCGAGACCCTCCACGAGCTGGACATCGAGTACGCCCAGGTCCTGGGAGAGGAGGTGAGGAGCCGGACTTCTTTAGTCCTTCTTCGGTTCCGGGTGACTCGCATACAAACACTTCCTGTTTACAAAATAAGACAGGAAGTCATTCCAAGCTGTTCCCAGGAACCAGTAGAGGTGGTTCACCTGGACGCCCTCTGGTCCTGCAGAGGGTCCGAACCAGAACTTCACCAGGTCTCTTGTCTTTCAGTGTGGAGTGGAGAACATCAGGAGAGCCGAGTCTCTGAACGGGAACCCTCTCTTCATGAAGGTAGCTTTTTATCTTTTTAGGTGTCAAACAGGCTCAGGTATGGGGTCAGTTTTGTGCCATAATTTGAATTTGAACGCGTTGGTTTGAAATTAAATTTCACTAAATTTAAACTGAATTTAAAGTTTTGTATCTGAATTAATTTCTTGTGAAACTGTATTTTGGTCTATTAAAACTTTAGTTCGACTACTTTCACTTTCAGTTCCATAATTCAATTTCAGTTCCAAAATACAAATATTTTAGTATGCAACTTTTGTATTGTAGAGATTACCTCCAACATAACTTCTCATATTTAACCTAATTAATATCGATTAATATTAATATAGTTAATAT